AGGAAAGATGTAGAGGTGACCCGAAACACCTTTATTGGGACTGTTTGCATTTTGAGCCTGTTCTCTGAATAGGCAGAGAAAGTTCCTAGAGAATTTGGTTTATTACAGGAAAATAGTTGCCATAACTTTGGAAGAATGTGATGTTGGAATTCCTGTGTTTTAGAATTAAAATTTATCTCCTGCTTTGGTCTTTGGGAAGTGTATGGTAATTTAGCAATTGAATTTTGTATTAACACGATGYCATGTTGTTCCTTAGCACTTTGGTCAAAAAGAAGAAATAATCACTAACAGCAGCAACACACAGATTGTCTCTTCCACTCTGGCTAGGCAGGAGCAATGGAGACTTCTGATGGAGAAAGTTTGGGCGTAGCCTCGTGAGTATGCCACATTCTCATGTGTCACGTTTTCAGTAAGCTAATTGCTAATTAAAATATCTTAATGGGAATATAATTACACGAATGAATTTGCACCACACTGATTAGCAGGTTTTGCCTCTTAGGAGAACAAAGGTTCAGAATGCAAAGCTGCAAGAGGRAGTAACATCAGTGCAGAATTAAGATGAAGTCAAACTAAATATCACTGTGGTCAGTGTAGCACTGGGTAGCTCTGGCTGAGGGATCAAAACAAAGGCTGGAAATTACTCCTTTTGGAGTTCATTTARAATTCAGAATATCTCYTCTTCAAGMGTRTTTGTTGTGTTATGTCGTGGATCCYGAGAGGAGACTCTTCCTYTGTGTTTGAGTGTCTTCCTTCTAAACCTGAGACCATTCGCAGGTGACCTCAACTAAATTTCACGCTGGCAGWTGCYAAGATGCTGCTTCACCCCACAAATRTCTGGCAAACTCTTCTCCTAAGARTTGTKGCAGAAGGGGATGTGTGACTGTGCCTGTTAACACTTTAAACCTCAGATTCTCAGAAAGGGCCCCATGCCTGGGCTGCCCCAGCATCGCAGGGTATGCTGGCCCAAAGTGGTTATGATGAGGTGACAGGGAATTAAACCACAGGATTGCTGAGCACGTCTCTGTAGGTGTGTGGATGCACGTGTTTTGTATAAAGAGATGGAACTGGTGTCTTTTGGAACAGTTAAAATTCCATTWTTTGCACAGACTTAACCCGGGGTTTAAATTAGTACTTTTTCTGTTGCCGTTAGGATAAGCGATAAAACTAGCAGTAGCATTTATTTAGAAGGGGGGAAAGGGTGGGAATTATCCATAGCAAGCCGAGGGAAGCACTGAGCCSGCTGTCCGCAGCCCCGGTGTGTCCCTCGGGCGGCTCCCGGCCCTGTGCCGCCCTCTCGTGGGCTCCTCCAGGCCATGCCTTGGCTTCCCTCATTTCCCAGGGTCAGGAATGCTGTTGCTAGGATATCGCTTGCTGATCAGRTGCCTTTTAAAATCAAATATCTCTTAATTTTTCCTCATCAGAGCGAGCCTGATTAAACTGTCGGCTAAACTGCTGCTGGGTTAATTTCACTGGTGTATTTTTTAATAGCAAAGTAACTTCAATGAGCTCTTCAAAACTTGATCTGAAGGGCTATCCTGCTCTGTTTACTGATGAGAAAGAGACATTCAATTGAATTTAAATGGCGTATTCACTGATCAAAGCTAATTTTTTTCTTAAAGACAAATATCCCTGTTTCATTGAGACTTACTTTGATCATGTGTGAGAATAGCCTGTCTTTCACCCCTTGAAGAATATAGAAAGAGTCCATCTCCCACTAAAGATGAGCTGTGAATGCCAAAGACATCCTGTGAATTATTTACTGTCTGAACAAGYTGTACAAYARTAGATCCAGACTCCTCATGYTGGCACCARTGGTTTCTTCCCTGGATRACTTCAGATCCATAATGGTGTTCAATAGTTGCTCATGATGGAATAACCTTAGGAGATTATCCCATTTATTTGAGCACATAAGGATGTTTCTTGCATTAAGTTTCTTCAGTTGTGTAATACTTGTGTATACATTCGTTTAAGTTGTTCCACAAGATCAAATGTTTGAAAATATTCTCTAGAGTATCTACAGTTCTGTGATCACCATGTGCAGTTAAAGGAGGAAGGAGAAGGGAAACTGGTAACAGCTGGGATTTGTGGGTTGCAAAAGGCTTAATTTGCTGTTCTAATTACACACTTTATATTCTTTTGCACCAGAACTAGAATTACCATGACAGTAAAGCCAGTAAAACAACATTTATTCTTTCTTGCAATTAGGCACCTTACTGGGAGGAAATAGAGTAGAGGCCTGATGAGAATCTCTATGGATCAGTCTTCTCGTCAGTGCCATGGATTGTTTTGTAGGTTGAAACTAGGAAGTTTTTCAGTTATCTTGTAATTGCTATGTTTATTTGTACTTAGGCTTTTGTTAACAGTTCTTAATTTTAACTTGAATTTCTGCTGTGGTCAAAATATATATTTATTCAGTCCTGCCTTCCTTTGATTTCAGCTCCACCACTTCTGATGAGTTTGATCTAGTTGTTGGATATCTGGAGGATATCATAATGGGTAAGGTCTGCAAGTAGGTACAGACAACAACAGGGTTGCTAAACATGTTGCCAGCTGCTCTTCTGTTAAGCAGCCAAGGTACAGAGCTAAAACAGCTCCTGTCTCCATGGAAACTTTCCTTCCTTTCTTGCCATGAACTCCTAACCTGGTCGTGTAGTAAAAATATACATAAAAGTCTCTGTGTGCTTATGACTTTTGACAATTCCACATCACTGTAGAACACTGCTGCTTAGAGAAACAGTAAAGATGCTTGTGCATCTCACACAGAAATCAAAGTTTTCTGGGATTATTRTGGAAGAGGCTGTGAAAGGTACCTTCCCTTTAACTGAAAATTAATCTGKGAATTTCACTGATATTTTTAAATTCAAAGGAAGAAACTTACTGTGAGTTCTTGTAGGGAAGACATATTCACTTAATAAAAAACACAGATGTTTTGCTGACTTGAGAGCCCAAACAAAAAAGGGTTCCAAATAAATAACTTTATTAATAAATGTAGAGCAGGAGGACTGTTTTGATAATACTGCACCAGCAGCCTCTGTCCTCTCACAGATGGGGCAGAAGTGGTGGTTTGGCAGCAGCTGCAGTGCTGATGTGATGAACTCTGCACGTGTGCAGGGCTCTGTGGGTACAGCAGAGAAGCAGAGGGCCAGTGAATGTGGGGTTTGTGTTACAGAAAGAATGACTAAACTCGTAACTCTGTGATGCATTTTTGTTGTTGTCCAGATGATGATTTCCAGTTAATACAGAGGAATTTTTTGGAGAAGCACTACCATGAGTTTGATGACTCAGAAGAAAACAAGCTCATCTATACTGACATTTTTAATGAATATGTAAGATACCTTTTCCTATTTTTCATATGTATTGCTTTTTTATTTTTATATAGTTYTCCCTTTATAAAATACTGGRCWWACATGGARYAGATCCCARCATRATTCCTGCTGTGCTGCCTCCTGTCTCCTTCAGAAGCACAGCCATGRTCTGTGGGCAAGAAAGGTTYCTGAASCTTTAAGTTCCTTTCTCATTGTTTCACATGAAATTTTCTAGAGATATTTTGGAAGTTGTCTAGCTTTCTTGAATAGAAATTTARCCTTATTGCTGTGGTAAATAATGTGTTTAGCATATGTGCAAACAAAGTTTCTTCTTTTCCAGTTGTATTATTTCTTGTATTGGGTAATTCAATCACATTCTTCATGCAAAGTGCAATCAAGAAACTAAACCAGACTGCTAGTCAGTAGTCATTAAATAAGTTGAAAATATTTTTTCTTACAAATAGTGTTTGTTCTCACCAATATCCCAAGCAAAAAATGTGCAGCTCTGTGCCTCAGGGCTGGTGTGAGAACAGAACCTGCAATACCCATTGTGGAATCTGCAGTTGCACCTAGTGAGGATCATGCAGAGTGTCAAGAAGGTGTCAGTGTAAGGATGCTGCTTGAAATCTGCTCCTCTAATCTGTTGTGATCTGATTGGGGTGGTTTGTTTGGGTTTTTTTTCAGATCTCTTTAATAGAGAAATACATTGAAGAGAAGTTGCTTGATCGGATTCGTGGGTTTGATATGGTTGCTTTCACAGTGTCATTGCAGTAAGTCTCTGCTTTGCTTTTGGTTGAGGGSTGGCTTATGTGCCTCTCAATTAATTCTATTTATCTAGATTAAAGCTTAGGTTTGACTGTTCTCCCTTTAGATACTGGTTCGTCTTTAAATTAAAAAAAAGAAGTATTCATACAGGCAGTGGCTGACCACTTTTCTTGCCTTCAGCATGTTCTGCTACTCTAAATTTCTGAATTATCATGCTGGGGTTCCAAGGGATAGGAAGAGAAATCAGAATGAGAGCACTGAAGGATTTTCATATTTCTTGTCACTTTGAAGCCAGACCCTTAAAAGGTTGGGCCTTGTTTATCTCTTCCAGGCTCAGTAGCCTGATGATGTTTCAGTCATGTGGTTAAATTCCTTTATTGCAATTTTTATACCGAGCATTCAGAGAAGAGTTTGGTTTGTGTTCAGCTTTTGCATTGGGTCACTTTAGCTTAACCAGCTTCATGAAGAGATTGTTTTTGAAAGATTATTGGTTTTCCCCTTAAATAAGAAAATCAAGTGTAACTGAGAACTGAGYATCTTAAAATATTTGAGTCTGTTTTATTTTTAATGTTTCTTAAATTAGACATTGGGAAGCTGCTATGAGTGCACATAGAACACACAGAAAACAGGCTTTTTAAGGTAAAGCTCCTTTGGAAGGARAATGTTTTTAAAGAATTAAATAATTTAAAAAACAAACAAAAATCAGAAACAAAAACCCAACCCTTGACTGCGAAGAAAGTCTTGTTGCAATTTGCTGACATGGAAGTACAGAGCCTTTCTTCTAAAATGTTTTCATCATAAGTCCTCTACCAGTGGCGGTCAGTAATCACTCTTAAGGGCTGTGAATGAGCATCTCTGGCCCTCCCCAACCTTTCTCACCTTCTGAGGGACTGTGTATCTCTTCCAGAGTTCAGGATAAATAAATAGAGAAATGTTGGTTGCGTGTTACTCCTGGTTTCAGGTCTGATTTTTAAGGACTGATGTGACACTCTTAGGTCTTGGATTTAGATAAATGTAATAACGTACTTGAATTGGAAATACTGCATAGTAATGTTTGGCTGCAGTTTTGCTCTATGATACACCAGTAATAACATTCTTGTTTAAATATTGATGTTGTTCTACTTGTCCTTTTTGACCATGTAGTATTTTAAAATAACTAATTTTTCACACACTGTTTTCTCATTCCACAACTTCTTTTCTCTGTAGRCAACACAAAGATGAAATGCCAGGTGATATATTTGATCTGCTTCTCACATTTACAGACTTTCTGGCTTTCAAAGAAATGTTCTTGGAATACAGAGCGGTGAGTATGTCACATTAAGTGTTTTCATTGGCACAATGGCTGTTGGTTTTGTGTAGCTCCTCCTGAGAGTGCCGAATGTGGAGTTATTACAGTGTTTAATCAAAGGTTGTACCAGAGTCAAAGGAAAAATCACTGAGTGGATTTTAAAACTCAAATTGCACATTTAATAATTTCTAGAAAATATGAATGAAGCTGGCACGTGGAGCAGCTCTTGAGAAACACACATTTCCTGCATCTGTGAATGTTGTTTTCCAAATGAATAGAAGGGAACACTTTCACTGTGAAGGTCTCTGAGCCATGTCACAACTTCCTTGTCTAGAGAGGCTGTGGAGTCTTCATCCTTGAGATATTCTAGAGTTGTCTGGACAGAGTGTCCTGAGTGSCCCTGCTTGAGCATGGGGTTTGGCCYRGATGACCTCCAGAGATCCTTTTCCACCCTGGCTATTCTGATTCTGCAGGATCTTATAGTATCTGTCTTTAATCCCTAGTCCATCCAAAATTATCTTTTTAAGCCTCTTTCATTTRTTTTCTCCTCCTCTCTGTGCCAGCTGTAGAAATAAACAAAAGTGCTAAGGTTTTTGGATGAGGTTTTTCTTAGCAAAAYGTAAATCAGTGCTTTCCAGTGTCTGTCCAGTCCTGGTTGATAAGGAGCAAAAGAGTCACAGTTGTGGTTATGCCTCTGCCCCTTCCCCATCTCTGTGAATTTTGTGGAAATGGGGACACGTATCAGCAGCAGGAGGAGCTTCAGTTGGGATTTGGAGATTGGGGTCTCCTGAGGGGCAAATACCAGGAGCCAGATTGCAGTAGATCCCTGAGCCACCAGCTCAGCATTCCCAACTAGGTGTGAGCAGGACTCTGCTTTGACATGGACAGACACAGCCCCCTCACACAGGGATTCCTGTGCAATCTTGTTGTGTTCACAATCAATCACAGATGCTCAAATAACATAATTTCATACTGATTTGATGCAGCAAWCAGAGAATGTATTGCCTGTTTCATTTTTTTAAATGCTTATCCCAAAACGTGGAGTCACAGATTTCTTTTTTTTTTCCATGTTTCTAGGAAAAAGAAGGTCGAAGTTTGGATTTAAGCAGTGCATTAGTGGTGACTTCATTAAACCATTAAACAAGTCATTCTGAAGGGAGTTCTGTTGTATTTCAAGCCAGGTCTACTCAAATTTTGGAGSTGAAAGGCAGYGATTCCCRAGAGACTGAGGGGACAGAGGGRCAGGGACTCGGCTCTGCTGGCAKCTSTGTGGGTGGTGGGGCAGGGCCAGGACTGTGGGCACCTCTCCAGGGGATGAAATCAAAGCTTTCTGGAATTTTTATGCCCATTTACAAAGTGGATGGAAGAGACTGTGAGAGGTAGCCTTCCCTTCCCCAGCTCTACCCAAACTTCTCCTAAYGTGTCTGCCAGGATCTTAAAAGCCACTATGGTTTGTGTGGGCAGTTTTCTGCAGTGCCCAACTGCTGCTGCTGCTGCAGGGAGCCTTTTGCACTTTGATATAAAGTGCCTGAGCTGCAGTTTGATCTCGTTGTTCTTTGTTCTGTCTCTGCTGARCACAGAGAACAGTTTATTCTGTTCCTGCAGTAGCATTGCTTAACTGGAGATCATCCARTYCCATCCCCCCTGCCAKGGGCAGGGACACCTTCCACCAGATCGGGTTGTTCACAATCCYATCCAGCCTGGCCTTAGGCAATAAAAGGTGCTCAGTTCTCASGGATGTGATTTTAACTGAGAAGGTGGTGTGTGCAGAGGAGTAGTTTACAAGGTGCCAAGACAGAATTCATGCTGATCAAACATGAGCTGCTTTGTAGGAACAGTACATAATTTCTTTGCTCACATTCTTCCCAGAGAGATGCAGATTCTGCAGCCTTAGTTGCCTGGTGATGTAGTTGAATCTGGAGAAGTGCTGACTAAATTAATTTTGAATGTGTCAGGGTTCGGAGAKCTGTGACTGGTGTCCTTTACCAGTGTCTAAAAGTAAACTTTCTATTTAGACTGTGGAATTCCATGGTGACCTCCCATGTTAATTTTTATTAATTTAAATTTTTTATTTTCTTACTGTTCCTTATTTTTATATATRTCTATATATTCCTAATTGTGGAAATTTGACCCTTGATTTACTCAGTGACAGCCAAATAAAGGCAGATCTGTCAAGGGCCAATGCCGTGTGTCCAGTTCCTTTTCAGTTCCACCTTCCATCCATGCAATTCCATTTCCTGAGTCTGCCTCTGCAGACAGCCTGGTAAAACTTCTCCCATGCAGAGCATGCAGTAAAATTTGCTGTGTAGCTCACTTTGCACTAGCTTTTGAACTCAGTCTGCTTTCACTACCTTGTAAAAGGAGGGTGTGAAAGGAAAAGCTGCTCTGCCTGGCTGAGCATCACTTTTGGTTCTGACAAACACCCAAAAGGTGAATTTGTGGTCTGCACCACRGGGGAGCAGCGTGATTCTTCCCTCTCCCAAGGCACTGATCTGTGTTCCCAGAGCTTTTGCAGGCTTGATTGTAATTTCTGGAAACGACCTGCAGCTAATGCACAAAATTGCTGGTTAATTGGGTGAACTCAGGAGTGTGTGATGCTGAGCCAGGAGGAGGGAGTGATCAAAGCCTTGGCACCTCGTTCATGTTCTTGTGGTCTTGGATGCACAGTCTGAGCGTGTGTGTGCATAAAGCAATGAGAGGTGAAYCCTACAGACTTGTTCCTTCTTCCTTCCATAGCCACGTGTAAAACCCACATGGTGTGGAAAGGGACAGTCACCTCTGCAGTGACATCTCTGCTCTCCCTGCTGCTCTGTGCATGCTGCCTTCTCACAAAACAAACTTTCTCATGACAGACTCCAGTGCTGGACTTARGAATGACTTTATTTAAAGCATAAAATTTATATTCAAATTGTTAGAAATCAAGATAAGAGCAGTTATGACTGCTTCCTTTGCTTCACCTCCTGTCTTCCAGCTCTGCCACTGTTTCTGCATCCTGTTAATTGCATTACTTACCCTGTAGCTGTGAATGAGCAGAGAGGAGAGCCCGGGCTTGGGTTAGTGAATTTAGTATTGSAGTGTGCCACATTGGCTAAGCCCCCTCAGTGGAGCTGCTCCAGCGAGGATCCAGATGGCCCCAGGGATGAGCAGGAGCTGCAGCCCCAGCGAGTCCGTGTGCCCTGGTGGCGATGCCGGTGGGGTTGTGCTGCGAGCACTCAGCTGGAAGCATCATCAGAAACCACAGGGCAGCATCCACGTGACCCAGTGCTGACCACTGCTGCCAGCACAGACTGGTCCCAAAACGAGCCCTGGTGGCACACGAGGCTCCGAGCCACCAAGCCTGGCTCGAGCTGGCACAGGGTAGCCTGTGGCTGGGCTTTGCTGTCCACTCCCTACGCGTGGTCGCTCACTTGGCTGGTGGCCGCGTTGCTGCCGAGCCCTTTCCAGGCGCGGAAGCTGAAGAAGGTGCTCACCCCGTAGGTGATCATGGTGACACAGGCGAAGAACTGCAAGAGGAGCACACCCCACGTGTGACACGGTGGCCACCCTGGTCCCTCGGCCCTCCCCTGCCCAGGTACTCACGGAGGCGGCGGCTCTGCGGTTGTAGTCCCACTGGCGCCASGACGTCGGCTGCACGGCGGCCGCGCACGTCACAAAGGCCGTGATGTACAGCACGGTGGCCACAGCGTTGTAGATCATCAGCTGGGGAAAGCAGAGAGGTCATGAGGTCTGGGCTCAGGCTGGGGTGAGACGGGAGCAAAAGGTCAGTTTTTCATTTTCCTCACCATTCCTCTGGAGCCCCAGAGGAGAAGGGAACAGCCCCTCACACTGGGAACAAAGGTCTGGTTAACATTAAATGCTCCCCAGGTTGTGCTGGGAGGTTTTTGGTGACACCACAACTGCAGCAGTGATGTGGTAGCCGTACCTTTCTGRATTGACACAGGACTGTTTGGTTTGAGCATTTTCTAAGCGATTGAGGGGCAGAATGAAACAATATCACTGTGCAATGTGCAGAGCACTTTGTTCCATCAGCTCAGAAGAGCCTAAAGCCTTCTCAGACTACCTCTGCAAGATATTTCCTACTTGGGATTCCCACTGACTCTCTCTCGGCTACGCACCACAAGGGGCCAGGGGATCATGTAGAACTTCTCATGAAGCTGCAGGAGGTAAGTCACGAAGAAAAGGACTGTTGCTATCCAGAAGAAGAGGGACACAAACATCACCCAGCCGTAGGCYGCGTGGAGGTGGTACGTTGTGGCAGCGATGAGAGACCACACCAGCAAACCGAGCACCTGTGGGTTGAAACAGGGAACGTGTTCAGAGGCTGGTTCCTGCAGGTGGAACACAGAACATCAGCCACAAGCCCAGGCACACCAGCASCACCAGCAGAGGGTTGCCCTCACTCTAGGAAAGCAGGAGCACGCTGGGCAGGAGACAGGCTCCTTGGAAAGCCGCCGCGCCCCTGTGTAAGCCCGAACCACTCATTGTCATGGACCAAACACAACAGCCTTTGTCCTGCCCGCGTCCAACGCCCTGGTGCTCGGCTGCCCCGACAATGCCTCCTTGTCCGTCACATCCATTTCTAACACTCGTGACCGCAAAGTATGTGCTGGGGAGAAACATGTAGAGGGGGCTTCTGCAGGAGTGGGAGGTGGCACGTGTGAGCTGCCCTGCTCTGGCTGCTGGGGGGGGAAAGCAGGAGCCTGTTTAACGGTCTGGCCTGAGCAAGGGGCTGGACAGGTGGAGCAGCTGCAGAGTTGAAAGGTCCCTGCTGCTGGTCTTGCTTTCACCCCTCTTTCCTGACACTCCTGCAAAGGCAACCCCAGAAGCTCCCTTCCGAGCCCCTTCCCTGCACGTTTGTCCCTGTGTCACCACCGGCTCAGCCATGCCCAGGGGATGGCATCTGGAGCCMGGAGCCAGGTCTGTGCYGGCTGTTSCACAGCGGCTGCTCGGGGCACATCCCATTGCTGCCCCCGCAATGCTGCCTCGAGGAGAGGGGACAGCGAACAGGGGCAGCACCGTGGGCCGGTCACACACGGCCATACACAGCTGAACGCCCACCCACGTGCATTCATGTGGCACCCGAGGCACCGGGAGAGAGCAGCAGCAGGAGATTATTCTGTGGTTGCCTCCGATGCTGAAMCAATGGGGAGGTGATGCTGCTGCTCGCTTTGGCGGGGCCAAGACCCTTGGGGCTCCTCTGACAGCAGCCACCAAAGCCTGGGAGGACAACCTGGAGAGCAGGGATGTCCAGGGAGCGTGAGAACCCCACGAGTGACCCCAGCACAGCTCAGTTGCAGTCACTGTGCTGCACACAGTCCCCGACCTCCGGCTGTGCCCTGCGGAAATGCCCGCACAGATCCACCCGTGCCTGGCACTGGAACCACCAGGCGCTGAGCGGAGTTCCAAACGGCAAACGGTGTGAGGATAAGAATCCGAATTTTCYTCTGGCTTTACAGAGGGAAGGAGGAGAGAGGGGGATGCACTGGCTTAGGGTTGGTTAGCGGAGATGGGGTCGGGGTGGCAGCCAAAGGGAACCCGGACTGTTTTCATTTGAAGAAAAGCACCGAAGTGCGTATTGCCCTCCCCCCTCCGCCGTGCCCCCTCCCCGGTACTCACGGCCTGGGCGCCCATCAGCCCCCCGAGCGGCGAGAGCAAGAAGGAGCCGTCCAGGAACGGGGCAGAGCCCGGGGAGGCGCTGCGGGCGCCGGGCAGCCCCGCCATGCCGCGCACCGGCCCCGGGACGGCCCGGGACAGCCCCTCCGCGGGCGGGGCGCGGTGGCTCCGGGGCGGCCGGGCTGAGCCCCGCGGCTCTCCCCGCCCCGCCATCCCCGGGGATGCGGAGGAGCCTCCGCCCGGCGCCGCGCTGCGCTCCCGGTGTGTCCCCCGTGTCCCCGCACCGCGGTACCGCCAACAAAGGGCGGTCCCCGCCGTGACAGCCCCCGCTCCCCGCATCCTGGCGATGGAGTCCGGATCACCGAGAGCCTTCTGTGCMGCCGTGTCCTGCTCGGTGCCCACCGGGGACACTCGGTGGCCCCCAGCGCATCCTGGTTGCCGACGTTGCTCCTCTGCGGGGGCCACGCGTCTCCTTGTTTAATCCTGGAATGGTTTGTGTTGGAAGTGACCTTAAAGCACYTCGTTTCAACCTCCTGCTATRCAGGGACGGTTTCCAYTGGRYCAGGCAGTTTCAARCCCTGTCCAGCCTGGCCTTGAACACTTCCAGGGACAGCGCAGCCACAGCTYCTCWGGGCAATCTGCGAAGTGCCTCATCACCCTCCACTCCAGAAGGTTCCTGTCAGCCCCTATCTCGGGCCGCTCCAGAWCCATCTGCRTGACCCCAGGACCCTCTGGACTRTCAGCCACTCCTCCCAGCTTGCTGTCATCCCCCGAGGGTGCAYCGGGGCCCATCACGGAAGGCGTTGATAGAGACGGTGACACAGGTCTGGGCCCGGTGCTGTCGCCGGGGTGTCCCCAGGGCAGTGCCCGCACCCCGCGCRCCGCTTCGGACACGAAACTCGGCTGGGATCTGACATGGCACCCGCCTCAAAAACCCATTACGCCGGCAGGTCAGGATGGCCGAGCGGTCTAAGGCGCTGCGTTCAGGTCGCAGTCTCCCCTGGAGGCGTGGGTTCGAATCCCACTTCTGACAGCTATTTTTGCGGCGCCTGGCGGCCGCTTTTAGCTGGAAAAAGCGGGGGGACCTGTGGGGCGCGGATGAAAAAGAACCCAAAACAACGAAGCTGAAAAAATGTGGTTGAAAACAATGAACTGATTAATTACAGGGGAGCGTAACGCAAAAACGAACGAGTTGTCAGAAGTGGGATTCGAACCCACGCCTCCAGGGGAGACTGCGACCTGAACGCAGCGCCTTAGACCGCTCGGCCATCCTGACACCGCTGGGCACCTTTTGCCGGCCGTGTTACACTTGAGGGCGTTGCGCAAACTCTGAGCTTTGTCACACTCGGGGCTGTGAGCTCCTCCCTGGGGAGGCTGTCCCAGTGCCCGACACCCTCTGGGTGAACAAACTTTTCCTAACTCCCAACCCAAACTTCCCCCTGCACAGCTCCAGCCGTTCCCGCAGTCACTGGTCACAGAGAGCAGCAACTGGAGCTGCCCCTTCACTGCCTTTCTTCAGGAAGCTGCAGTTTACAATGAGCTCTGCCCTCAGTATCCTCTTCTCCGCGGTAAACAAGCCATATGCCCTCAGACACTTCTCACTTCCCCCCTAGACCCTTCACTATCCTCATGACCTCCTTTGTATACTCTGTTACAGCTTTAAATACTTCCTATACTATGGTGCCCAAATCTGCTCCCAGGACTCGAGACGAGGCTGCACCAACACAGAGCAGGGTGGGACTGTCACCTCCCCATCCTGCAGCTTCATTTAACAGTCCCAGTTCATCCCCAAAAATGTGATGGTTGAAGCACAGCTGAAAATTTTTTGCTGCCTATATTTGCTTGAGACTCATAGCTCTAAACCAATCTGAAACCAGGAACTTTGGGAAGTGGAATTACAAGTTCTAAGAGCACTAGGCTGGTTCATGGGAGGCCATGCCTCCTTCTTCCTCCAGCAAGCATCAGATAGAAGAGTCGTGCTGCGGGAATTCCTGTGGGAAGYCTGGYTCTCTGCTCAGATCCCTCCTGGTTMCACAGACAGCACCCTGTGACTGAYTGCTCATCAAAACRGCTCCAGCCTCTGCATAGGCAGTGTGTGTTACACTGAACTGACCTCAAACTCCTTTTCCTCACCCTACACAAAAGTAAAGACATTCCCACTGCTCCAGATATGGAGTTCACAAGGAATAAAAGTATGTTACGAAAGAGAAGAAAAACTACAGCCACAAATCTTTCACAAACACATATCTACACCACAAGGAGACAGAAAACGTAAGAAAACAAAATATACTTTATTAAAATTAAGCATGTTAGCACCTCAGTGTAACCTGGAGAAGTCAAACAGTCCAGCAGGTAACCAGTCCAGCAAGGCCGAATGGCTGAACATCCTGAAGTGCATCCCAATGGTAGAAAAAGTACCACGACTGTCACGACATGCAYGTTCTCAACAAGCTCAGATGCACAACCAGCCTCGTTTGCAAGGCGGGATGTTGTGCTGCCTACTGTCTTGATGGGAGCATCTAGAGCTGCTGGACCAATCACATATGTTAGATTTGATGGTGGAGCAGGTATCTGCTTGTCCTACAAAAAAAAAACAAAAAAAAAACCAACAAAAACAAACCCAAAACAACAAGCCAAACCAACCAAACAAAAAAATTGCTGCTAACTTGACTCGCAGAAAAATCAGTATAGCACAGAGCTGGAGAGCTACATATCAGATTGGAGAATAAATTAAACTGAAGTAACGGGAAGTACTTAGTACATGGATAGACATGTAGTATCCTTACAGTTGACCATCCAACTTGGCACACACATTAATAAAAAAATGACCCATGCATCACATAGCAGGCTGTGACAACCTGGAGCTGAACCGCCTTCAGGATCTACAGAGAAACCTCTGGCTACAAAACCCCATGGTGCCCTTTTGTTCGCTCACACACAGTGTTGAAGCTGATGGTTGTAAAGCTACATTAGCCAGTGTTACAAAGATTACATAATTTCAAACTAAAGATACTTTTTACATTTAGAAAATACCTATATAAAATTTAGTAAAAGTGACATCCCAATCTACCGAGTGCGGTGCACTCTGGTTCCAGAAGGATCTCACAGACCCAGGGAGCACCTGGGAATTCCTCCCTTGAAGGTGAATATGGGCACACTGTGTTGAAGTGCCTTTTGTTCTCAACATCCATTGTCATCGCCCATCGCCACAGGGCCGTGCCAGGGCACCAAATACTCTCCTTCTCCTCTTCCTCCAAATTGCTGAGGGATCTGTTCAACCATCTAGGCTGGCAGTGCTTAACCAAGCCAAACCCATGGCTTTGCTACCCTCACACCACCCTCTTTCTAGCCAACGTTGATTTGGTTTCCTGTAGCAGAAAGTGAAGGGACTGATGCTGGCTAGAAACAGAAACTACACAATCATTCCACATAGATTTGTTACAATACTCTTAAATCTTGGTTTAGAACACACAAGCAGGTTTTAGTATGGTCTTGCCTAATGTACAGATTATTAGTCATGCCAACTAGTTTAGGATTAGACAGCAAAGGTTTGCAACCACTGCAGGTAAAGTCACTTCTGTTTCATCCTGGTTCTCTGAACGAAAGCCAAGGATTAAAATTCCAATGTGTTACAAAGCCTCCATTTCATCAGAGGGAGTATAAACCAACGAGACAAAYGACAGCTGTCAAATGCCACCGGGTTCTTTGTACCAGACTGTAAATCCTTACTGGTGTCAAGAGCATGGAGACGTCTGTAACCAATATGCACACGCTGTGGAGAAAGCAGAAACTACATGGTACAAGAACACTCTTTAATCTGGGGGTTCTGCCACACTAGGAACAGCAGTCTTTTATGGCATCAGTAATTTACTGAAGAAACACATCACCCTGAGAGGGTTTCCTAAAGCTTTCCTCCGYTGAGCGAGGCTGAACGCGACATCACCGACCATTCCTATGATGGGTACAATGCCCACAGCAGTCGGACACGCCTTCTCCAGGGTAGTGTTGCTGTTACCTCACTTGACACAGAGCGAGTTTATTTGCTGAAAACTGATACCCTACGTCCACTTAGTGATGACTTGGGTCCCATCCACGCTACGAGCAGCGCGTTCTGACACTGCCGGCACAGAGTGGCTTTGATGGGTCCTGTGTGAGGTGACACCGGGGGTAATACRGAGGTGATAACGGGGCTGGGCAGCGAGCTGATCCAGTCCAGGCAGGGGAATCCGTTGGCGAGGCCTTGCCCGGCTGGGGGCTGCCGTGGCGTGGGCTGAGCCGGACACCGGGAGGCCGCGGTCCATCCCTCCTCTGCTCTGCCCGGCACCGCACCGAGGGCGGCGGAGGCTCCGGGACGGAGAGCCCCGCGCCGGGCCGGGCCCCRGSAGCCCTCAGAGGCCGTGGCGTTTGCGGGTGCCGGCGCTGGCGGCGTGGAGCAGCCGGTCCTTCTCGCGGATCTCCTCGCGGAGCTGGGCCTCGGCCAGGCGCAGGCGGCGGATGCTGCCCTTCATCTCCTTCATCTTCACCTCCAGCAGCGCGATGATGTCGCGCTGCTCGTTCAGCTTCCTCAGCAGCTCCTCCGACGTGGTGCCCGACGACAGCGAGTACGAGTGATCGGGAGGGCCGCCCTCCACCGGGCTCTCCTCCCCCGCCGCCGCCGCCGCCGCCGCCGGTACCGGCACCGGCAGCCGCACGGGGCTGGGCCCGATGGTGGCGGCGGCCCCGAGCTCCACCTGCACCGTCAGGTCGATGGGCTTCACGTCCTCGGCCGCGCCCCCTGCAGGGGCCTCGGTGGCGGCCGCGGGGCCCTGCGGGGCGGCGGCGGCGGCGGCGGCGGGGCGGGGGCGCCGGGCCCGCTGAGCCTTGCGCTCGTTGACGCCGCGCAGCGGGAAGATGGTGGGGACCCGCACCAGGTAGGACTTGCGGCCGCCCTGGAAGTGCTCGCTGCAGACGCGGTGGCCCGTGGTGGGCTGGAAGGTGCTGAAGCAGCCGCTGACGCCCGCCCGGGAGACGTTCTTGAGCCAGAGGCGCCGCAGCTCCTCGTCCTTGGGGAAGGTGTAGAAGTGGAGCGCCTTGTCGCGGTGCGAGTTGTTGTAGCAGCCCGGTACGCAGCAGGTGAAGCCCGGCATGGCCTCGCGGGGCGGGGGGACACCCGCGGCGAGCGGGGCGAGCGGCCCCGCCGAACTACAGCTCCCACAAGGCCCGCGCGGCCTCTCGCCGCCGCCGCCGCCGCCGCCCCGGAACTACGCGGACCACAATGCACCGCKCCGCCGGCGGAACTACCCGCCCCACACTGCGCTGCGGCCCCTCCCGGCGCGCGCGCGCATCTCGCGAGAGGCCGCGGGACGCGGGAGGTTCGCGGCCGTTACCGGTGCGACCATGGCCGAGCGGCGAACCCGGGCCCGGGCCGGCCTCAGGCGCAGCGGCCGCCACAACGCGCAGGCGGCGGCCCAGGTGCCCCAAGGGATCCGGGAGACAGGGACGGACAGAGGGAAGGAGGGAGGAAAAGCAAGAAGGGAGGAAAGCCGCTCTCGGGATCGAGCATCCCGTGGGGCTCGCCCGGCGCCGCCCGTCCGGTCGCTGTCGGTGTGAGACACAAACGAGACCCCTGAAGCAGGAGCGGAGRGCGCTCCCTCACCCTTGTTCGCCTTTGCTTGTGGAAAATGGGCCTGGCTTCGGCGCTTGCCGAGTAGCCCGCAGCTCGGAGGATTTAGGTCGCGGCTGTKCTTCGAGGCTGCTCAAGATTTCGTCCACGGGTGGGTTTTGCGATTGGAACCTACCTGGATGATACCCCGAGCTGAATTGTCTCTCGCCCACACTTGAAGTGCCACCAGTGTCAAAAAGCCAACACGCGCAATTTCTCTTTGGAATTTGGAAAAAGTTTGCTGTCAGCTGGCTTAGGTTGTTATTAGAAGATGGATAGTGCATACTTTTGATCTTGGTATCTTAACTAATGAAAATCCTAGTTTTGAATTGCTTGTCTCTTGATTTCCCTCTAGACTGGATCAAGTCTAGAAAACAAGAGTCATTCTGTCAGAAGCACCGTGGCAAATCAGAGACTGGCAGTGTTCCCTGATCTCAAAAATGGCACACCACGGCTTATGCTCAAGAGAGTCATGCAGAACCGTAAGTGGCTTTTTTTCAGGAGAGCTGAGAACAGAAAGGCAATGTTTTGGTGGAGCTGAGAAAATGGGTTGTTCCCTGGTAGCTCATTATCCTTTCCCTGTTACACAGAACAGAAATCAGACCATTGTATGAGTGGTTTAGGTAACAGAGGAATCACTGCAGGGCAGCTGAATGTTGAGAGACCAGGYCTTGTGCTGGTGAGATCAGAGCTCTGAAGATCCTCTTCAAAACACTCTTACCGTGGTGATTGAGCACATAACCTTGGCTGTAGGACCGGGTGTGAGCTATAGAGRCATGTTCTGCTGCAGTGTAGGGAGCCCCCATGCTGCCATCTGTTGGCTTTGTCATTGCCAGCCTTCCCAGGAGTAAACCCCAGTTTTCACCAGGTCTTTATTTTAATCAATTGATAAATGTCATTTACAGCCTATAGCGTAGATGTGGCACTGCTGCATTTTGGTGCTCTTGCTGTATTGAAATGTTCTGGTTTGTTGGCAGAACCCCAAGTTTCACCTCTGGCACCTCAGATACCTAACAGTGAAGACACGGAAGAAGCTCATTCTGAGGTCCCATCTAAGAGGGTTTCCAGCATGTAAGTAGGKKTTTTTTTTTAATAATTYTCAYTTTCATTACACTGCCAGGTATAGCTGCAGTTCCTGTGATGGGATTGGGAACACAACTTCCCTGTTTGTATTTCAGTAATCAGAATTGSAATTGTCAGGTGGGATTATCAAAAATGCCTCTCCATCTTGGTTTGTGTTGGTAGGGGAGAATTGCAACTGCCAGATGTTGCTCCTGAGGGCACGTTTGTCACTGTGTTCCACATGGGAAAGAGGAGAAAGAAAGTCAGCATTTCTGAATTTGAGAGAGCAGCAGAGAGACGACTTCTCCAGAGCCAAGGTAAGGCTGCAGTGAAGAATTATCTTGTTCAGTGTTGCATAGTCAGAAGGTTCTCACCTGCTCAGATCAGTTGTTAGGAGCTGCCCAGCTGGGCAGCTGTAGGTTTGGAATATGCAACATCTCATGCAAAGGGAATAATGGATAAAGTGAAAGTCCCCATCCTATCAAATGTAAAATAAAGCTTTTTAARCCAAACTGTTATTATGTTACAATATTTTCTGCTGTTGCAATTCTGTTATGAGCAAGTTATGTTACTGCTCTCCAGATCTGCTTTAGAATTTTTGGGACTYTGTGAGYAGAACAGGTTTGAGTTCCAGTTTCATCAAGAGTCCATGGAATAGTTATTTGTGCTTCTAAAGCTCCACATATGTTTGGGCTGGTTTACTGAAGGGTGGTTGTGACTGAGGCCCAAGCCTAATCTTGCTATTAATGTGGTAAAATCACTAAATCTGAGGCTATATGCCATGGTAAATTTTCATTGAAAGAACTATTTTCTTACCCTTTCAGAAATTACTTATTAGATTTCTAATAAGCAGTTCTGAAATGTAGACAAGAAATAGTGAAGTGAACCTGTCATCTGATCCTGTTTGCACCGAAGTGACTTTTGAGGACTGTAGCATGACTGGCTCTGAAAAGAGGAAGATCCATTTTTGTGTTCCTGTAGCTTGTTGTGTAATTTCTCAACTAATGTGCCATCAACTTTTCTAGCTCAGTCAACGATGGACAACACAATGATGACTCGGTGAGTTTAACCTAAAATGTTTCCTGGCTGTCCTAAGTATGGTCACGTCTGAAGTGGTGAAGAACAGTGCAGATCCCTGGGTTCATGGTAGAAACCAGTGTAGCAATAACACAGTCATCTGCTCCTCTGCTGATGGAATTTGAAGGTGTTGCACCACACACCTTTTGATTTTCAGACACTGTGGCTCTGCACTGTATGCCTGGGTTGGTCTAGCTTGTATTGCTACTATTGCTCCTCTTTTTACTTGTTAGGATCATTCCTTTCCTTCCTTTTGTTCTCATGCTGCCAACAATAAATCAGCACACACAATATACCTTAGAATATTATCCCTGCCTGTTAATAGTCTTATCACATCAGTTGCATCTATGCAGTATTTTCTGGACTTGAAAAACTTTTTAGTGAGTCAAAGAACTTACTTTCCTAATGACCCTGGCCAAAATCAGCACATTATTTCACTTTTCCCACTGCAGCCCATGCCTGGGGTGCCATGCAAGATGCTTCTTGGGGCTGCATTCTGTACTTCTGTCTTKGAACCGTCTGAACCCCTTTTTAAATTGGGTTTCCTGGAGAGAGGGACAGGAGGTCATTGAGCATGGTCAGTCTCCAGGGTGAAAAACACCTACAGTGAGAAACATTTTTTCCTGTGCTTTGGAGCTATCTGCTCCCATCTCAAAATAGTATGTTGGTTGCTGTACTTTGCTGAGAGTATTGATACTAAGTAGCTTCTTAAACTTGTTCTTAAACTTGTTTGGAAGTCCTCTTACYACCCCACTGTCATCTAGAGTATGTCTTTATTCTCAAACATTTGTTTTCCCTTTTTGTATTTTTTGTTATTTAAATATTTTAAAATTTCTGACTCTYTTGTCAGCTATAGTGTTGCAGTGTCGCAGGGAGGTTATAAATCAGTCTGTTTCTTGGTCTCTGTGATACTTGTCCTGATGTTGGGTAATACTATGAAAATGAACAATTTGTTTAAAGGCTGGCATATAATCTTCAAGGTTTTCTTGGGGAAGTTTCTCTTAGCTCTGCAAWATGTGTCATTGTTACTGCCATCATGTCTGTATTCTGAGTGTAAATGGGAGTGTGTGATTTTGACAAATTAKTTCTTCCCTCCTTTTACAGATCCCTTCGTATGTCTGTGGGTTCCTTGATGGCCCCAGACCCTGTTGAAAAGAGAGGCTTGCTCCGGAGGCCAAAAAACCGCAAGGCTGTTGACGTGCAAGCTTTTGAAGGCGGAGTGGAGCAGAACCTGCTAAAAAGCAAAGGTTTCTTTTGTGTTGTGACTTCTCTTTTGGGAGGCAGGGCCTTACATAAGAGGGCTTCTAGAAGCAATTACTGAAGTGTGGCCTGTATTTTACAATTTAAAATGCTGACGCATTTGCAGAAATAGAGTGGGATTTGGAAAGCAAGATTAGAATGAGACCTTTGTAGTTMCTTTGATTCTATGCACTTAAATATGTGTTTTGCCCAGTATGGTGATTTAAACCACAGGAATTGTTTGAGATTATCTTCATCTGTGGGTACTGAGGTCTCTATAGTTTTGGTGGGGAAAGATGAGGGCACTGAAGTGGGATCATACAGTTTCAGTGTTTGATCTATTGAGGATGAGTAAAAATTGGTTGAATGACTTAAATTTTGAATTGTACAAGTCCTGGTAGTAAAGTATGTCCCAATGAGCTCGAATGGTTTTTCACATAAAATTTGTYTGAAAACTTCCTAAACAGGACAGAACTATCTTGTGGACTCACTATCTGCATCTGGAATTCAAACAAGCATCCTGACAAATGATGCAGAAGTCATGATGAATAGCACAGAACTCTTTGTTCAGTCCCAGCTGGATGAACAGAGCCAAGATAAACTTTCTGCTCTTGAACCGCAGCTGTCGGATTCGAAAACTTCAGCACAGAAGAGCAAAATTTCTGATGCAGATCAAGAGGATGCAAGACTGGAGGGCATGGTATCCAGTGTGGGCACAAACGAGGGAGGGACCCAAAGATATTCCAAGAACTCAAGCCTTGATCATGAGCAYGTTGACAGAATGACTCATGTATCTCCAGAAACACCTACAAAACRGCAAGAAAGTGAACAAGATCATTCCCRACAGAGTAACCCAAAGGAGCAGGTTTCTGTTTCTGAAGAGAAGATGGCTGGCAGTGAGTACTATGGGTTAAGGCTTAGGCTTAGCAGGTATTATCTGAAGTCACAGAGTGGTTGAGGTAGAAAGGGAACTCAAGGTTATTTTCTCCATCCTCTCTGCTCTGGTAGGGCCACATAAAGCAGGTTGACCAGCAGCCTGAATAGTCAATAGCTCATGTTTTTAAACATGAGCAAGTCATGTGGCTGTATATTTCTTACCCTGCCTGCCAGAGGCTTGTCCAGGATAGTTGAAACCACTCTAGGCTCTTTTCTATTTCTAATGCAATATATAATTTACAAAATTCTTTATTCAGAAAAATGGAGGAAATGAGGAGGAGAATCTGAGCATATAATCCAGGTATTGGTAGACTTTAGGGAAAATAAATTGGTATTTCACACAATCACCAAAACTGAGAATAGCCATAGAGATGGCAGATRTGGAGGAGCTCTGCTTACTGTAAGTGGAATTCTTTCATCAGGATCTGATGTACCCCAAATTAGGTGGCTGTGGAGCAAACACAGGAAAAGTTGGGCATTTCTCAGCTGTAAAGGGAACTGATCTGCTTTTCTTATTTACAGCTTATGGCTGAGTTTACTTATCACAAATAAATTCCAGTGGTGGTTAACTGTCTGCTSGTGGTTGGTTGGTGGTTTTTTTGTGGGTGAAATGTATGATAGAATTTTTTATTTTAGCTGCAGAACATGGTGCAAGCGCTGGATATTCTGAACATTTGGAGAAGAATCTGACTGAACAAGCCGAATTGCAGATAGCTGCAGCACAGGACAGCAGAGGTGAAACAGAAGTGGTTCCTTCAGCAGRAGAGGAACTGGCTGAAGGCAGCATTGGAGCCCATGGCTCTCCTGGAGCTGGTGAGGACAACTCTAATGCTGACAGCTCTCTCTACCAAAGACTTCTCATGCTGCATGACTGGTATCAGTGCTAAGACAGAGACTTAACTTACTTTGCATTCTGCCATTTGGGCTAATTACTGGGGAAATAGAAAACCACTTTTATCCTTTTAAGCTGGAAGACTGCATTTTATTTAAAGGAAAACCAGAATTGTACTGGCAGTGGTSTTTAGAAATGTATAATTACAGCAGRTATCTTTGATTAAAATTTACTAGTGGAAGTTCCAGAATCAGGCAAACATACTTGTTTCAGCACTTTGTTTTTCCTGTTTTGAAAATCTAGAATATGAGATTACCAGAGGTATTGGAGCTGAAAATSTGGACAGGCAATTTCATGCCTCTTCCCCACTTGAAAAACCAGGGATGACTCCATTAAATGAAACTGATGAACAAGGAGATGAACTAGAAGATCAGGCTATCATGCTTGAGTTGGATGATTCAGTGGAAGAGCCTGCTGGAGATGAAGCTGAACCCCCTCCAAGTCAAGGTAAGGCACTATTGCAGCACTAACAGAAGGGAGTTGGAGAATTTTTTCCTCTTACATTGAAGAACAACAGAGGTTAATAATGTTACAGTTTAGTCTGTCAGATAGTCCAGGGGAAACTATTGGCTGCTGTTTCTAGRGCCAGTTTCTTACTGGCTCATCAGGTGCTTCAGAGACCAAGATCGTCTTGTACTTTCTGAGGTGAAGATAATGGAAGTCCACAAAACAGTGGACTTATACAATGACACAGGGATATCCTCCATTCTATTCTTCATTCCTTCCTGATTCCTAATTTCATGGCCATTTTTTAATGTCTTACCATTGAACTGGTGTTTCCACAGCTGTTTATGTGACTCCAGACTTGAAACCTGATWTAGAACCCTGTATTTTGTACGTGTAGTTACAGGTTTCCTTTCGAGGTAACAAAAGGAGCAGACTGGCTTTCCAGAAAGCTGAGAGGAAGTGCCTGCTTCTAAACAGTTCTGTATYAGTTTGCCCCAAAAGTGCTGATGCTTTTTGGAAGAATGAATACATCAGACTGAGTTCTTTGATCAAGGCCATGTTTGAGAATGCCCAGAGTGTATTTTAGTGATGTCTTTTCGAACTGGTCTTATTCTTTAGAATAGCAATACATCTTGAAGTATAAAGCTGAACAAAGGACATCCTAAAATCCCATTGSTAGGATTTTGGGCATATTCAGCTGTAATGAGAATATCAATGTCTGTGTAWTTGTGTAGTGTGCACAAGGAACAGTTGAATTGATAGCCACAAGGAAAGCTGTAGGTGTTTGTAGGGTGTCTACAGTTCTGTCAACATGCTTATTTTGTACACAGCTGTATGAAGAGGTRGAAAKATCTGGCTGCAGATCTCTGCTKATAGGRTKRRACAGTAAGAGTAGCAACATACAGGTCTCATTGGACAAGAAGAGGAAGAAAAGAGGAAAAAATTGTGTCCTCCTGTCATAAATCTCACCTTAGAAACCTCAGCATAACCAGTCCMTTTCCCTACATCCTGCTCTCTGCCCCTCCAGTGCACAGAAATGTTTATTCAGAATAAGCTAATGCAGAAGCTAATGCAGGCAACCGCAGTAGTTCGCCCAGCCCTGCTTTCTCTGAGAGATTTCTGACCCTTTGAGCTGGGGAGTTCAACTCTCAGTAGTACCTGAAGCTTCTGGTAGCTGGTCTTGGCTTCTCTAACAGGACAGGTGTCCAAGCCCTTAAAASGATCTTTGGGAAGTTGACACCATTGCCAGATAGGCTGGATTTCTRRGCTGCACTCAGCTTCCAAGGGAAGCTATTGRGCAAGAAGCTGTGYGTGATTACTCCTCTTCCAGACAGGAAGCTGCTCAGCATTTCTGTTGACATTGCTTTCTTTCCTGCTCTTGCTTGTTAAGAAGTGAAGAAGTACAAGAGTGAAGTTAGACGATGCAGATTAGACTTGSAGGAAACTGCTATTGGTAGTTCACAGGASAGAAAAGGTGAGATGCTGATTTACAGGAGCATTACCTGGAGGGAGTCATGAAAATCTGCAAACAGGGAGAAGTTTTTAGTCTGGCCCTTGTAATGTGATTCTGTAGCTCAGCTTGTCCCTTTGCTCAGGAGAATTTGCCAGTGGCTTAGCAAAACGACAGAGGGAGCTTGTAGACTTTGAAGTTCTCTCTGGTTAAAAAGGCTGTGGCTTTGTGGCAACCTAAGTTAAGCCAGCCATTGTCCCCTGCAGCCTGGCAGCCAGCACAGGGAGCCAAGGGAGCCACCAGCCAGTGTGGCAGGACCTGTGGGGGTGGCACAGCCACAGGCAACAGCAGTGCTGGCTCAGGGTGCTGTGGGGACACAGCCAGAGCAGGCAGTGTGACACCAGCCCAGGCATGTGGGGAGGTGGCTGGGTTTCTGTCTGCTGCAGCAGCACTGCTTGCTGCAGGAAGAGACATCAGTTCCTCAAGTACTTGTTTCCCCAGAGGTTTCCATGAAGACTCCTGCGTTTGTCCGTGTTCCAGCCCACAACCCCCTACTGTCAACTACRCATGTTGCAAAGTCTGCTGCTCCCAGGTAAGCCTAAGCCATGTCCAGCAGTGGTCTGGCAGAAATGGGGCTGGGGAGAGCAGAGCCCAGCTTTGCCAGCTGTGGGGGCAGCTGCTACATGGAGTGAGCAGTGCTGAAGGCTTTGGTTCTTTCACTGCTGTAGCAACTGAGTRAAGAGTGAATTGAGTGCATGTCAGTGCTCTCCCAGAGCAGGTCCGATGCCTTGAGGCTTTCTAGTGAACATGCTTGTAACACTGTCTTGTGCTGAAGGCCAAAACTTTCTGTATATTTTACAATTGATAAGCCACTCTGGAGCCATAGACTCCAGTATGGGAGGCAGAGGCCCTTGCAGAAGAGGGGGAATTACAGGTGGCAAGATACTGACCACATAGAATGACATATTTGTATTGACTGCAGAAGCCTAAAGCTGTGTGCAGTTGCCATGTACTGACTGTAAAATGAAGCTCTCCTAGAGGCAGAAAGTGACCTCTGCATTACTCCAAATTTGTTAGCATTTGCACCCTCTTCACTCGAAATTTGGTGAAGCCATATGCTTCATCAGAACCATTAGCAGTGGGTCCTTGGGAATAGGAGGAATTTTCTAGCTCGTGGCTCTAGATCTTTGTTTAGCAAAGCAATAAGCCTGGATTACTTCTCTCAAGGCCATGATGCCACATGTTTGTAAACTGCCCTGTGGGGGTATGAGGGAGAAAGAATTAATAGCTCGAGGTAATTCTTATACGTTCCAGTTCTGCCTAGGGTTTCTTCAAACTGAGCCTGGTGTTCTCTGCCTCTCTCCAGCCTTGTTCATTCAATGCATGAATTTTCAATTTCCCTCTAAGGTCTCCCCTGAAGCTGCTGCAGCCTAAGGCAGTTCCCAAGAGATTGGGAACATCCCAGAAGAAACCMCATGAGCCTCAATTACCAAGAAGTTTGATAAAGGAGATATTTAGCCATTTTGTTAAAATGCCAGTGACCAGAGATGCRTTCAAAATTGTTGAAAAATGGTAAGTAGCAACAAACTGCTCTTTCCATTATTTTTAGTACTGGGGTATTTTTCTTTCTTTTCTCTCCTGAAGTAATAAATCTGTTTGGAGTGCTRCTGACAAGTTCACAGCCCTCCCTCTTCAGATGGAAAGAATCTTGGGAGGCCTGATAAAAATGGACAGAAATGTGCCAAGTGCTTTGGGCTGCCATGTGGGTATCTGATTCATCAAGCATCTGGGTTTTGTCCCAACAAATTGTACCAGTCAGTCTTCTCACTATCAATTTCCATGGACAGGATAGTTCTGGGCAATGATCATTGTGCTGGGCACAGTGAAGGTRTCTCAGCTGTGCAGTGTTCCAYTGGAATCCGGGTTTCTCAGCTTTTTGAATCCTCAGACCATGTTACCTTCATGAACAAAATCTGTGGATTGTTCAAACGGTGTCATTGCAGCAGCCAATAGTCTGACCTTCAGTGCTGATTTCTCTCTCACTGGTATCAACTCCTGTTCCTGCATGTGTGGGAAGTTTGGGAAAGGTTCAGATTGTCAGATGTGCAGCTGTTTCACATCTGTCTTGGCAGTGAAGTTCCAGGGAGCCTGGGCTGAGAAGCCGAGTTTTGTGGGCTGGAGAGTTTCTTCTTTCCCAGTTTTCCCTGGCAGGCTCTGACCTGCACAACGAGCAGCTCTAGTGCAATTTGYCCTGCAGAAATGGTTGAGTAGCTGTGTTCACATGCTTCAGTCTGGTTTGATTTCCCTCCTCATTCCTCCCTCAGCTGTGAGAGATACTTCARGCAGCTGAGCAATGATCTGGAAGCTTACGCCAGCCATGCAGGGAGGAAGACAGTGGAGGTGGCTGACCTGGAAGTTCTCATGAGAAGGTAATGGAAGGGTTSTTATTAATCTGCAGTAGGTGTGGTGATGCTTTGATGGCCCAGTAACACCTGGTTGTTGCCAGGGTGTGCACAGCAATAAGTGTTTGCACAGAAGTGTGCGATCTTGGGATTTACTCTGCATGAGGCCCCTTCTGTCCCAGGAGAAATTCCTGGACTTGGGTTTTCCACTTGCTGGTGGTGGTGGAGAGGCAAGAGGAAGTAGTGAGGAGTTGAGAGGGCAAGAGTCATCTGAGGAATCAAGAAGAGAGGGCTTTGTGTAAGGGTGAAGCAGCAATATCTGGAAAATGAGTAGAAAAAGAGAAGTGGCTAAGAGGGAGGCTGGACTGTACCATTTGTGTCCTCAAGTGATCTCTTTGCTAAAAGTGTCGGCAACTGACACCGAGCATTTTCACATGTCCTGCTGTCTGTTTTGGTGACTYGCTCTTCCAAACAAAATACTCCTCTTCCTGCTGCTGCACAAGCTGACACTTGGGATCCAAACTGAGGTTTGGACAGTTCCTCTCCGGAGCAGGAGAAGGAGCCTCTGGCCAGGGCTGGCTTCTCCTTAGAGCAATATTCCTGGACAGCAGCCTGGAACAGCTGTTCAGTTGYTCTCAGAGCTGCCTCACTGGTGCTGTGTCCTGTGAATTCCCCCAGCTGCCCCATCTCCTGCCTGAATTTACTTTGTTTTGTGACCAAAACACAGAGGATTTATTCTTGGTTTGGAAACCCTCTGCAAAACSGTGAGGCCTGAAGCAATCCACCATTTAAAGTCCTTACCCTGGGTTGTTGTTCTTGATCTCCACTGGAGGAGTTTCAAATGTGATGTTAAAGTCACCTGAGGAATAGTGCAGGGCACTATGACATTGGCTTTGCATGGGCCTCTGTAGGTAGAACTGCTGYTTAAAAAGAATAATCTRTTSCTGTCCTGATCCAGAGATTTCATTTTCCCACCTGACAGGTGTGTGCTGAGGTTGGTATGARCAGTCAAKAGGCATGRTGGGTTAGTTGGCCTGGTTTGATGATTCCACGCACTTGTTGTTTCCCCTCTTTCTAGCTGTGTTTTTGCCTTTACTGCCTCTTAAAGAGATCAGGAATTATTGCTGGCTCACACATAAGAACAGTATTTCTGTTCCTTCCACATGGAGAGTGTGAATAAATGCTGYACTTTTTTCTTTCAACAAAACTGGGAGATGCTGTTTTTTTCAGGCCAGTCAGCTAAATGGTRTACTGGAAAACTACATGGCCTACACAGTTGGCAAATGGCAACCATCTCTSAGTTGTGACTGTWAAAAAATCTGGGTACTATTTCCTTYTGTCACGTCGTTCYGTGCACATYTTCAAATGGTAGAATTTATCCCATGGTAGGTGGATTGTGAATTTAAAAAGCAGTGAGCCTCTACTTTGGTCCTGATCAATATAGATGGATATCCCCATGGTAAACAGTGGGAAGCTCTGTGGGAAATTGGTCTGCAGGAACCCTCTGGGTCTGCTCTGCTGTGTGGGCAATCCCAGCATTGCCCCATGCTCAGGACCTGAGAAACTGCCTCCAAACATGGGGCTGGAGCTGTTTGTCACAAGCAGACAGAGYATTTCAGCTCTTAAATGCAAAAACATCACTGCAAGAAAGCTTTACTCTGATACCAAGTGGAAACACATTTCAGTAACATCTCTTGTTTCTCCTCTGCACTCTCTCTGGACAAAGACAAGGGCTGGTGACAGACAAGATGCCGTTGCATGTGCTGATAGAGCGTTACCTCCCTCTGGAGTACMGGAAGCTCCTGATTCCAGTTGCTGTGAGTGGAAATAAAGTGATCCCCAGCAAGTGAAGGTGCAGTGAAGGCCCCTGTGGATGGAAAGACAGCCTTCTCCCAGGGACTGGCTGCTGATTGTTCCTTGTCACTGCTCCAGGTGATGCTTTTCCACACATAACCAGCCAGCAGTTATGTTCAAGGACTGATTGATGTTCTGAGTGGAAGCTGGTTGTGCTGTGGTTGTCACACCACCCTTCTGGGTCTCACCAGCCTTCATTACAAATAATTTGACTATCCTTATTTTTTAATGTAACCTATGAATACTTGTTCAGCTCTGATAAATAAAATGTTACATGTATTTTGTGTAATGCCAATGAGCTGAGAGTCTCCTGCACTGTGATATTTAAATTGTTCCTAACAGGCAATTTAGCTGTGCTAAATGATTGGTGCTCTTCACGCCAACCAGGTGTTTGTGTTGGACACGCCTGTGTGGTTTCTGTTGCTCTGCTCCCAGTGGGAGCCATGGTGCCCCTTTGTTTTCCCTTGGTATTTTTGAACAGGCAGTTGCTGCATGGAGGAGCTGCTCCATGCTGTGCTCCCCTTGTGCTCCTCACAACAGGGAGAGAAAGCAGAACTCTTGTGTATGATTGTACTGCTCACAGTGRATCTAAACCACACTAGGAATGAGGTCTGAAGCAGCAAAGGATTGTAAAACTTTTTAAAAAGTTCAGAAGCTGGAAAAGAGTAATTCCTGTCACATGTACCAGTTTTGGAGGGATGGAGATGGGTACTGAATTTTCTCCTCAATGTCCTTCTGGKGAGTCAGCGTGCCATGAGTTGTTTCTCCCCATCCTGAGTCTGTCCTAAATCCCACTGCAAGTATGGATTCTTCTCTCTGGGTTTTGCTGTGTGTGCAGTATAGCTTCCTAAAACTGCAGCCAAATGGCACAATTCAGAGGAACTCCTGGAAATCCAACCCAGCTCTTGGCAGCAGCACTTGGAAGTTAAATAGGTTTTGCACAACACTAAAGGACACAATGAGCAATAGACTTAAAATCASTTCAGCAGGCAGTGCCAATCTTAAGGGCAGGCATTTTTCAAGGTTTRKKTTTTTTTTTAAATAGAATTCCATTAATACAACAAAGAGCATTTTTTGCTGGTAGAATGTGACTGAAGTGTTGGAAAGAAAAGGGTCCTTTGAGAAGCTCTGTTGGGAGCAGTGCATGTCTGCATGTCCTGCATGGATGGGATTCCCTTCTCCAGGGTGTGTCAGAGTTCACTTCTCATGAGAAGGTGCAACTTCATGAGGGAAGGAATGGGAGGGACAGTGGGTTTGGATGTTCCACTGGAATTCTTCAACTCAACGGAGCCTTTTCCTTGGACTGGGTGTATTTCAAACAGTCGATACCTGTTTGGCCATTTGGAGTCTCAGAGGTCATAACTTGTATAAAACTTTGGCTTGTAAAGATATATAAATATATATTAAAACTGTCTAATTTAAATATATAAAGTCTAAATATATAACCATATAAATATTCTGTCAAGTAAGGAAAGATGATATTATCAAGGGAGCCTTGTGTCAGACCTGTAACTTCAGTTGCTGGGAGCGTTGTTTAGTCAGTCCAAGAAACTGCAGCTCTTGCCTTAAGTAATTCTCCAGTTGCTCGGACAATCATGGCTTTGGAATGATGACGAGGGCCTGTTTATTGCTATGGAGACATGGAAAAAGAATGGAAACACGGAATTATGTGTGTCATAGGTGGAAGAATGAACTCATCGTATAAGTCAGTTCAAGGATCTTGTTTTTCCTCCTACTGGCCGAGGCTTCACAGCAGGAGTTTAGTTTTTTTTTACTGTGTTCTCAAGACATAAGTAGATTTTTAAAATAATTATATATATACACACAAAGACTGTATATCCATATGGATCCAGCTGAGAACCAAAGGACCCTTTATGAACTGCAGCGGGTGAGCCGGGGTTGCCTCATGCATGCCCTCGCAGCTCAGAGCCGCTGGTTATTCCCGCTGCTGGGAATTGCCGTCGCCTCYCGTGGCTGCGCTCGGTTCGTTCCCGGTCCCGGTCCCGCCATGGCGCGCGCGCTCCGTTTACGCGTCTCCACGGCAACGGCCACGCCCGCAGGACCCCCTCGCTCGCCGCCATAGGTGCCCACGCAGCGCCTGACGCCTGGGCTCCGCGCGGCGGCCAAAACCGGCCCGTGAGCGGCGGCGGCCGGCGTGCGCCTGCAAGCGCGGGGCGGCTCTCGAGTCCCGCGCTGCCGCGGAGCACGCTGGGAATGGGAGTCCCGCACCCGACGGCGCTAATGGGAGCGGAGCGGAACGGGGACACGGTTCTCAAGCGTTCAGCGCGCCAAGGGGAGGGACGGGGCTTTAAAAGCGCGGCCTTTCGGGAGTTGTAGTCTTGGCGAGAGCCCGGGGCGAGCGGGCGGGCGTGACGCGGACTGCGCTTCCCGTCGGGCAGCGCGGCCCCATTGTGGGCACGCTCGCAGCCCATTGGCTGCCGGCCGCGGCCGGGCCTCGCTCCCCGCCCGCTGACACAAAGCGGGTCCAAGATGGCGGAGGCGGGCGCGGGGAGCCCGCACGGCGGGGACGCGGCGCCGCCGGGGCCGCCCGAGGAGCAGGAGCTGAGCCGGCGCCTCCGCCGCCTCTACCCCGCCGTCAACCAGGACGAGACGCCGCTGCCGCGCTCCTGGAGCCCCAAGGACAAGTACAACTACATCGGCCTCTCGCAGGGCAACCTGCGCGTCCACTACAAAGGTGCCGGGCTGGGGCGGCGGCGCCGGGTTCGGCCTCGGCCCGGAGTGGGACGGCGTTGGCGTGGCCCTCGGCCCGGCCGCTCCGCGGGGAGCTCCGGGCGCGGGCTGAGCCGGCAGCGGGTCCGGCAGCCCCGGGGCAGGGGCGCCGTGAGCAGAGCGGGGTCGGGCGGCGCCGAGCTCCGGTCGCGGGGCGCCCGCTTGGCCCGGGGCCCCGGCTGGGCTGCTCGGGTCGGGCTGCCTGGGCTCGGGAACGGGGAGCCGGGGAGCCGGGGGCTCTTCCCTGCTGAGTGTGTGGCCTTATATAACGCTGTGCACTGTCGCTCGCCCGGGCCCGGTGTAGCCAGACCGTCTGTTTACTTTGTCATCCTGCTTAAAACCCGGCCGAGGGGTCGCATGGCCCCGACACGCTGCGTAACTGGGGCTTTGGCTTCTCGGGTTTACACGAAATAGCTGCTCACGGACTTGTAGTGTGATGTTTTCCCTTCTCGCTATTGGAGCTGTTCTCCCTACCCACCCAGCGSAGAGCTGATTATTCCTTTTCCTGCCTGGCTAGTAAACACTGATGTCATTCCCCTCTTGTGTAATCATTTTTGTCTTCTGTTTGTGTACATTGGTCTTCAAAATATGTCTGTGGGGAGGGGGAGAGGTGGTACTGAGAATCTTTCTCAGAAACTTCAYGGTGAATACAAAGAGAAAACCAAAATGCTTGTGCTGTAGGGATTGTTCCTGGTGGCAGTGCAGGGTTGTATWTGCTGATTCTCTGGAAAGTGTTCTTTAAATGGCTGGCTGGCTCCGTGTAGAAACAGATCCCTGCTGGCTTCAGATAGTGAGGTGTTAGATCAGAATGTGTGAGAGGCCAGATCCCCTCAGTACTTACATTTCTGTTCTTTCTTAGGTCACGGTAAAAATCACAAAGATGCTGCCTCGGTCAGGGCCACTCACCCCATCCCTGCAGCCTGTGGCATTTATTACTTTGAAGTGAAGATCGTCAGTAAAGGTAGAGATGGGTAAGTGCCTCATTCCAGCTCAGTGGCTGGGGGTGTGTGTCTGGCAGCTCTGCTGGACTCTGGCCTCCTTTCCAGAAGGGTTCGAGGTCCCGTGGCTGCTGGGTGCAGCAGGCAGGTACATCATGGGCAGGTTTTGTCCTTCTGATGAATAGATGCAAATGAGGTGGAATGCCCTAGAAGCAGAGGCACTGGCTCAGATGTGTCCTGAGCTCTTTGAGATGGGCRCTCCTAAAAAATTCAGTAAACTGTGTGTCTTCAGTGTAATTTGAATTAAAATAGGGTTTTAATAGGTCTYGCTGGCAAGGTCTGGTATTCTGATTTCTGGAATTGTGGTGCCTCAGAAGTGAAGTGAAGCAGAAGGGAGGAGCCTTGAGCTTAATTTTGGGCTGCTACAGTGGTGTTGGYATGGTCAAGAGTGGTCATAGGAGTACTGGAACAGGGGGAAAGCAATAAAGRGGCATTTCTGACAAGATCTGGTTTTCTCTTGCTAGTGTGGATGTAATCTATACTCATTATGAAGGTGTCGGCCTGCTGTGTGTGGATGTCCCTGGCATTGTTCATTGCTAAAGGATGAATATGGCAGGATATYATCTGGAAGGGAAAGCCACAGAGGAGGAGGGATTGGACATTATTAATTAATCCAATTCTTCAAGTATGACATTTGAACTCTGACCAGTTTAAGGGTTGTGGGGAAGGACAGCAAATGTTCCTACTAAAAAACAAATGAAMGTGACAACTTGTTACAGTTGAATTCTTTTGCTGTCATTGTTGAACTGAGAAGTGGCCTACTTGTGAAGGGACTTGCGAAGGATCTCGGGTTGTGCTGCATTTAGGCCCTTGATAATTACTAGGTTATCTGCAGAGGTGGATGCTGGGCTGAATTCCATACAAATGCAGGGAAAAGACCATCCTTATTCCTCCATTTCACTGGCCTGGCTATTAACTGCATGTCTGTTTTGAAACACTGCCCTTGATTAGTTTATGTAACTGCTAAAACTGGAATAATTTGCAGTGAGCTTCAAGACAATTTTCCAAAGAAATCACATTACAAAAGGTCACTGAACAGCACTTAATCTTTACTGCAGTCYAGATCAATCTTAAAGGGAGATAATGGAATTTTCTGCTTGTCCCCCAAGATCAGTTTTCTATATTAATGGTATCTGTTGTTTTTATTGTATTCTGTAATTACAGTGACTTTCCAGGAATAATTCCAAACAGACAGAACTGTGTATGTTAACACAGCAACCTGAACAGGGCTGCTGACAGCTCTGATCCAAAGTCAGGCCAGTGGCGAGGCTTTGAGAGCCTCTCTGATGTCTCAGCCATTCCTGTGCCTTGTTTTTCTTTTRCTGGTAGAGAGACAGATCCAACTTTTATCTTGCACAGGGGGATGCTGGGGATTTGTGGTTGTGAATTTCCACTGTAGCTGCTGCCTGGCCGTCACTTGAGAAGGTGCTTTTGTGTAGCTCACCTTTAATAGTTTGAATTCCRTTCCTGCTGGGGGCTCAGTGTGTTGTACTACTGAACTGTGGCAGAGATCTCTTCTGAGGAGGCTCCCCAGTGTTTATTCCACCATGGTGACCACAGTTTAAAGGACTGAAAATCCAGACATCTAAAGAAGGGATTGAGGGAATGAAGTTTTCCAGCAGTGTGGTGGCAAAGCGTGTCCCTAGGAAGAACATTGGAAGCCCTTTAGCAGGGGAGAGGGAGAGGAATCCTTCTGAGCTTGTTTACAGAATGGGTATTTCAGGTGTAAAGCCTCTGCCCTACAGCTGTTTTTTTGACTTCTGTATGGTAGGGATGTCAAGATGTGAAGTTATTCCCTGTGTATCTCTTTATGGAGTTTGTAATGACATTTCACATTTAGGTTTAAAATGTGA